CCTTGCTGAGCCCCCAAAATGCAAAGATGGACCGAGTGCAATGGGGACCAATTCTCAGGCCTCCAAGGTGACTTGGGAGCCTATATGAGTGGCCCCATCAGACTGGCTTAAAATCCTGCCTCTGGTGTGCAGAGACTGAGCAAGGAATGACTCTGAGCCTGGTTTCTATCTAAAAGAAACAGTTATAGGGGCTGGAGCAATAGCAAAGCGGGTAGGGCGTTTGCCTTGCATGCGGCTGAGCCGGGTTCGATTCCCAGCAACCCATATGGTCCCCTGAGCACCGCCAGGGGTAATTCCTGAGTGCAGAGCCAGGAGTAACCCCTGTGCATTGCCAGGTGTGACCCCAAAAAGCAAAAAAAAGGGGGGAACAGTTATAAAAAGCTGTTCAACAGGGGATTAGAAAGGGTCAATGAGGGTGCCAGAGCAAAGGTATAGCAGATAGGGTGTCTGCCTTGCACACAGCTGGCTCGGGACCCCCTGAACTCCAGACCAGGGGTGATCCATGGGTGCAGCCAAGAATAAGCCCTAAAACCTGAGCACCTCCAGGTATGATCTCCCAACAACACCTACCCCCCCCCAAAAAAAGAAGAGACAGTCAGGTAATTACAAGAAAAACACTTAGTACCACCCATCAGTTGGGAAGGACTCGACATGCATTGGCTAAGGAACCCCAAACACTTCTGATTTGCAGCTCCCTCCCTTTTTGCTCTGTGGTCCAGGGACTCTGCAGTGAAAAAAGAAGAGGAATATACACACATTGTGTGTGTGCACATACATGGACACATGCCCAGATACTATATATACAACCAAACATGTCTGCAAAACTGTAAAGCAACTCTATGTTATTTTGCATGGGGTAGCACTCTGGGAGAACTTTTAACTCTGACATTTTGTACCTCTGCTTATTTACTGTTACAAAAAGTAAAGTAAAAGTAAAGGCCCTCCCGTTGATTTGCTCGAGCGGGCCCAGTAACGTCTCCACTGGAGACTTTGTTGTTACTGTGTTTGGCATATCGAATACTCTCTCGGTAGCTTGCCGGGCTCTCCGAGAGGGGCGGAGGAATCGAACTCGGGTCGGCCATGTTGGCCGCTTGTAAGGCAAACGCCCTACCCGTTGTGCTATCGCTCCAGTCCAAAAGAAAAGTTATTTAAAAAGTGCTGTGTGCCAGGCATAGTTTCAGGTGCTTTTGATAGAGCTTCCCAAGCCCTCACGGGTTCCCAGGAGAATCAACTTCCCGAGGCGGCAGATAAGAGAAGGACAGCGGCCTGAGCACAGACACAGCACTCATCAGTGATGCTGCCAGAATTTGACCCCAGAGCTGGAGGCTGGAGCATAGAGCAATTCTGTTGGGCAGTCCAGGAAAGCTTCTCAGAGAAGGGGGGATATTTAAGCTGGGCCTTAGCAGCCGAGTAGTACTTCTGGAGGTCAGAGCTCTGAGCCAGGGGTGATTGGAGGGGGACATCTGATGATTTTTAACTGTCATAACTTGGGTGAGGTGTGTGCTGCTGCATCTGTGGAGAGAGGACAAGGACGTTGCTAAACATCCCCAGTGCACAAGGTTGTTTTGCACGACAAGAACTGATCTGGCTCCAGCTGTCAGTCGTGTGGAGCTCATGCTGCAGCAGGTCACAGGTGCTATTTCCTGAGTGCAAGGATGGCTCTGGCAAACATCATCCCTGTGCAGCCTAACCCTATTACTGCCATGCTGTCCACGCAGAAGCCTAAGGTTAGAGACGGTAAGTAACCTCCCTAAGGCCCAAAGGCCTGAAAACGGCAGAGCCAGAAGCTGAGCACAAACCAGGACTCTTAACCTTCCTGCTCTGCAGATCCCAGGACAACAAACATATAAGCTTTAGGCCAAGAGGGTGTAAGGAGACTCGGTTTGAATGTAAGCCCAGCCTCTTCTGGTCTAGAGGGCAAGGTCCTGTCCCTCCCCCTCTGCCATTTCCCCATCTGTCTAGTGAAGGATGAGCTCTAAGGCCCTCCTTGTTCCAACTTTGTGATTCTCCAGGAGAGAGGCCTGAGCCTGGGGGACAGAAGCACAGCTGCTTAGAGAGGAGGGGAGGGAGCTGCTGTCTTCTCCTTCCTGGGGCAGACATAGCTAATGGGTGCTGCTTCCTGACAAGGAAGGAGGGAGAGAGGGGTGGGAAGGGCTGGGGCGTGGCTTGAACTTCACCCAGGAGCTCACCTTTCCAGTGGCGAGAGGTAAGCACCTTTGTGGGGTTCCTCTGCCACCTTCTTCCCAGGTCCAAAGGTGCACCCAAGGCAGGCCTTGTCCTCTGGCGGGAGAGGCAAGTTTGGGCATTTGCCTATCTGGGCACATGAGTTCTTGTAAGCAGAAGGAGAATGGATGGGACCGTGAGCTGACCCAGCCCTATCATGTGCCAGGCATCTCAAATAACAGGTTCATGCCAGGTCAGCCTCATGAAAACTCCAGCAGGAAAGAACTTTCCTGACCCCACTTTACAGGCGAGCGCACTGAGGCTTCTATGAAGTGACCTGTGGAGTTAGTTACACAATGTTGAGGGAAGGTTTGAAATTCTGGTGTGTCTGAGCCCAACTGACTATAAGTTTCCAAGAGGGCAACTGAGGGGGCAAACCCTGCTTTTCTTTTCACTTAAGAGAGTTTCGGTAATGTTGGGAGGAAAAAAACAGTGCAATTTCTCCTCCATTCCCCAGACACGAAGTGGAGAGCAAAGAGACAGAGCACATATGTCTGATGTCTTGGCCTACAAGCAGGGGCACGGGGGCCCACCAGGCAGGTGCCTCTTCGGCAGTAGCATCAGCTGGGAGAGGCAGGAGTGAGCCGCGGGGAAGGACCTTGCTGGCCAAGTCCCTGCATTCTAGCCAGGCTCTCTCACCTCTTGTAGCATGGCTGTAAGTCAGATCATATCTCCAGATCTCAGATCCACACCTAGAGAGCCAAGGGGCTGCACAGATGGCTTCAGACTCAATCTTTTCACACCCTCGCAACCTGCATTTAGTCCTGTCAAATGTTCGCTCCTCCTTCCCATTGATATGACTTCATAAACAGGGAAATGGGAATGCTAGTGTTTGGCACAAGGGACCCTGGGTGTGGGTGGACTGCTACCAGCCTTGGGCAAGCTCCCAGAGTCCCCAGCCTTGACTTTTCATCCTCAGAGTGAAAGGCACTCTGTGCCTTGGGGATGAAAGGCATCTGGAGTAATGATGTGAACATGGGCCCATTTTTCCTAGTGCCATCTCTGCGGGCATCCACTAAGTGGGCTGACACAAACTCATGTGCAAGGCACAGGAGGCCAAAGTAGGTACTAAGCTTTTGCTTAAGCATCTTGAGGGCTAGAGAACTCACAACCTCCTATATTAGACTATTGCATTTTCATAAAATGTCTGGAGAATCTTATGATTCCCAAAATTCTTTAGTCTGGATCAGCTCAGATTCCATTTTGATCATTCATTCATTCATTCATTCAGTCAGTCTTTACTGAAACGCACTGTGGGCCAGGCTTTGGGTCATCAATATAAGAAACTCTTTTGTCCTTGGTGAATGGTGTATTGGACTGGTATACCAAGGCTAGAAACAGGGGTTGCTATCTTGAATGGTTCAATCTGAGAAAGATTCCCCAGGCTCAACGAAGCCTGGGAGCCATTTTATTAAATACAGTAAAATGGATCGCTTTGCTGCAAGATTTATTCAGGTCCTTAATATGCAAATGTACACTGAGAATCCTTCAAGGAGAGTATAGAGAACACACTGTTTTCCAGTTAACTATAGCTGAGCTTAGACTGCTACATTTTGAAATACTATACTTATTAATGGGGAGCACTTGGAGGAAATGCAGTGGTTCTCATACTTTTTTTTTTTGGCCGTTGAAACTTGGGCAAGGTTTCAGAGAGAACATTTGAGTAGGTCTGGAAATTGAGTAGCAGTTGTCAGTGAATCTGGGAAGATTTAAGGTTTAAAATCCTAGGCTGACTAGCCTAAATTATCTGCCTGCACATTCTCCATCACTAAGTGCTCAGATGCCTGATGTAGATGACAGAGCCAAGAAGTCCTGGAGACTTTCTAGAGGCCCTTCTCTCCAATACCTGCTAAGGGGGTCTTAGTCTCCAAATCTTGGTCCTATTATCAGTTTGGCTCTACTCTGGTTTAAACAGGTTCTTTGCTTATCTGGACTTGGGACCAGTCTTAACCACTCATGCTGGGTCCCCTGGTACTGGGCAGTAGCCCCAACTTCTCAAGTAGTTTGCTTAGACTCTCAATTTGTTTAGACTCTCTCTTAGACTTATTCCTGACCTTCCCAGCATAATCTAATCCTGACACTCTGCGGTGACCTGACTGAACCTGTTCCATAACGCTGCCCACCCTGCTCTCAGCTAACCCAGTCTCCACACATACTCAGAAGGGTGCCCCGCCCATTCCATCTCTGTCATCTTTGTCTCCAATTCTGTCTTGAGCCATTCTGGGGAGTGGGGCAGAGGGTGAGTGAAAGGGTTCAGGTCACACTTTGGTGCTCAGGGCTTACTCCTGGCTCTGTTCAGGGATCACTCCTGGCAGTGCTGGTGGACCATATGTGGAGCTGGGATGGGGCCGTGCGCACCTTACCCGCTGTCCTCTGTCTCTGGCCACCAAGAGCCATCCTCGTGAAGGCTCCTGTCTCCTGAGTCAGTCTCCACCACTCCTGACAGTGGCCCTGCTTTTCCCCAGCTCCAGTTTGTCCCTATCCCCAACGTGTCTCCAGTCCGGTACCTGCTCCAACTTTGATCTTATATATATTCCTTCCCCCTCACGTTCACTCACTCCACGGGGGACCCATTCCCCAACCGTGGACCCACCCCAACTCCAAGTCGGCCTCAGACCCCAAGGTACTGACAGCTCATGGCCACGCCCCCAGCACCCCGCCCCGCAAGTGGCCACGCCCCCCGCGCTACACGAATCCTGATAGGGCCCTGCCCCGGCTGGTGGCCCCGCCCCGCCCTGCCCCGCCCCGCCCCCGCCCCGGGCCGCCGGGCCGCGCACCTGCAGCTCCTCGAAGGCGTCGTCGATGCCGGTGACCTGGTGCTGCTCGTGCAGGGCGGGCTCGTCGCAGAAGAAGCAGAGCAGCGCGCGGTCCGTGAGGCAGAAGAGCTTGACCTTGTCGTGCGCCTGGCAGGGCCGCGCGGCGCGGCGCGCGTTGAGGATGGCGTCCAGCGGGAAGGCGCTGTAGCGCTCCACGATGTTGGCCAGCTTGAGGCTGGGGGCCAGCGCGGGCTCGGCGAACGTGCGCCGGCACTCGGGGCAGTCGCGAGCGCCCTGCGCCTCCTGCCGCACCCAGTGCTCGGTGATGCAGCGGCGGCAGAAGTAGTGCTCGCAGCCCAGGCTCACGGGGTCCTGGTAGATGCTCAGGCAGATGGAGCAGAGCAGCTCGTCCTTGAGGCTGCACGCCATGGCGCCGGGGGCGGCGGGAGGGGGCCGGGCGAGACGCGGGCCCCGGGGGCGGGTCCCTCGAGGCGGGCGCGAGGGCTGCGGACCACCCGGGATGCCGGCCCGCAAGGGTGGCGGTCGTGAGGCAACGGGGGACCCCGAGCGAAGGGTGCTGGAGAGAGGAGGTCGAGGGTCTTTGCGGGAAGAGGCTCCTGACCCGGAGGGCTCAGGGGAAGGGACAGTCCGAAAGGATGGGTGCTGGGAGAAGGGGATCCAGGAGGGGGCGGAGGCTTGGGGCGGTGCTGGAAATCCCAGGGTGGGTGCAGCGGGGGGAGGGGGAGAGGCTGGGGAGGGGGGATTGTGAGCGAAGAAGTCAGGCGAAGCCGTACCTCGGTTGTGCCTGGCAGAGGAGGGGCGGGCACCAGCACACTCCGCAGCCCGGCTCCAGCCCGCAGACGTGCCCGGCGTTGCCCCTTACTCCCGCCGGCGCCGCGGCCACTGCTCCGCTCCGAGCGCTGCCTCCCAACCCGGAACCAGCCGAGCTGGAGCGGCCGGCGCCGGGCGCTGGCTCCGCCCCCGGGGCGGGCCCCGGAGACTCCGCCCCCGGAGCGGGCGGGGGAGGGGGCGGGCCCGCTTCCTGCTGCAGACCCCCTCCCCGCCCCCACCGTCCTCGGGTCCCGGGGGAGCTGAACCCAGCTGTTCCTTCAGAGGCAGCGGGAGGAAGGGCAGTGAGATCTTGTTTTCGGGCTCCTTGGGTGGGTGGAGCTCGGACCCCGTTCATTTGCGAGGATAACAAGCAATCAGGAACATCTTTTGGAATCGTTGATTTAGAGATTCAGGAAAAATGATCTTTCTATTAAAACAAACAGGGCTTATTGTAATTTGCATGGAATAGACCATTTGCATAAAAGATGAAGGTAAAGCTGGAGAAACGTCTGGCTGCAGAGAGCAAGTCCAAGACCCTCATTTTAAGCTCTTCTTTTTCGCTTTTTTCCCCCCCTTTTTCTTTTATTTTTGGGGGGCTTTAGGACTGTATGCTTGTCTGTGCTGAGCTCTTATTCCTTGCCTGCTCTGCCTCAGGAATCGCTCCTGGAGAAAATCCTGTGCAGTGCTGGTGATCCAACCGGTGTCTGCTCAATTCCCAGCTTCAGGTTCTTAAGAAATGCTTACGGGGTAGTTTTTAAAAGCCTGACTCTGCCTGATGTCAGAATCGAGGTCCACTCAACAAACTCTTCTGGGGTGCTAGACTTCTCTGTGTGTGTGGAGACAGATGTGAGATTGGAGGTGGAGGAGGAGAGAGGGAGGAGACCTTGCCGTGTATGCCAGATGGAGAGGGGATAAGGGATTTCCAGGCTGAGGAGACAGCATGTGCCAGGGGAGGGGTGGGCACATTTGGGGGAAGTGCAGGCAGGCCCCTCCTGTGGGAGGTTGGGATGGGGGATGGGCTTGGCTGAGGTGCTGGGCTTGAGGGTCCTGTTAAAGGATTTCCTGCAGGCATTGGAGTCCTCCCAGGGGAATGACCTTGTATGATGGGGGTTTCTGGAAGTCAGGGAGATGCTCATTATGTCACCAGCAGGACAAGGCTGGTGTATTTGCACATGTACAGTGCTCAGCAGCCAGGAGAGATTGCAAGGGGCACCTGGCACCATTTAGGTGGTGGTGCTCATTGTGTCCGTAGGGGGAAGGAGGCTGAATTGGGGCTGAGGCTGTAGGTGAGGAGGGAGGCCAAACCCATAAAACAGTGCTGATTCAAAGTCGAAACACCAGAGTTTTGTAATGGGTTGGGTATGAGGTGAGAAGGAGGCATTGAGACTTGCTCCCCAGTTTGTCTCCTTCAGAAATGTCTTTATTGAACTTACCCCATTGAGGTACCTTTTAAAAACAGCTGAAGTTATTTCACGTGGTTTCACTCGGTTACGCCATCACCACCATCTCACACAATCCAATCTCCATTACTGCCAGAAACACATTGGTTGCTCATGCAATAGCATGGCTCGGCTTGAGAGGGGACTCCTGTGAAGAATCTTCTAGTTGTTTTTTTTTTTCGTGGTGCCAAGGATGGAACCCAGGACCTTGTCCACGTGAGGTGTGTGTTCTCCCACTGAGCTATCTCTGTGGCCCTGTCTCCTAACTTTCAAATGCAACTTCTCTCTCCTTGGCCACGTGTGGTGTGTTCAGATGATATTTGGACTAGTGACGGCCATCTTGCCTCCAGACTGAGGGAAGGGGCCTCGTGTGGAAAGGAGCTGGTGCTCTGACGCAAAGCCGAGACTTGGATACGTGGATAGATCGTTAATAATTTAGTCATGTGATAGAGCCGTGTGTGCTGCCCGGTGGCAATCACAAGAATCCCAGGTGATACATTTGATAAATACCTCCAATTTTTAAAAAGAAGGCAGGATTTAAATTATTGAAGTATTTGGAGTCAAATGTGAAAACAGTGGACTTCATATTCCACTGAAATTCCTCTCTTTATTCCACTGAAATTCCTCTCTTTAGGGTTGCTCTTTCATGTGCTCCTGCAGCCCTGCCTGGTTTTGAGAACCAAGTCTTTCCCCCTGGAATGTAAGTAGAAACAGTCCTGAAGACATCAGGATTTTGTTCTTCCAGGTGCTTATTTCCTTGCTTGAGTTGGAAGATGGATATGCTGAGATTCAGCTTTAGTACGGCTTCAAAGGGGTTAACAGCAAGCATAAGGAAGGAACCTCGGGACCTGATGAGTGCAGCCAACATGGATTGGAGCAAGAGATAAACTTGATTTTCTGTGAGCCATTGTATTCTGGGTCCCTTTGTTGTTGTAGCAGCTTAGCCTACTCCATGCTGTTCTACAGCTGTTGTTATTAGTTATTATCACTTTATTTGGGGGCCACACCCAAAAGTGCAGGTACAGTTCTGTTCTCTTCTCCTGGAGAACAGGAGAACCCGCAGCACTAGGAGTCAAGCCCAAGGCTCAGGCATATAAAGCATGCACTCTGACCCCCTTGAACCATCTCCCTGGCCCATCTCCAATTGTTTTTCAAGAGGCACTGGTATGATTATGTATTCATGTCTAAATCCTGTTGAAAGATTCATTGCTGGTTTTAAAATATAGTTTTTTGGGGGTAACTAGCAACCCAAGTTCGATTCCTCCGCCCCTCTCGGAGAGCCCGGCAAGCTACTGAGAGTATCTCGCCCACACGGCAGAGCCTGGCAAGCTCCCCGTGATGTATTCGATATGCCAAACACAGTAACAACAAAGTCTCCAATGGAGACGTTACTGGGCCCGCTCGAGCAAATCGATGAACAACGGGAGGACAGTGACAGTGACAGAGAGATGATACAGTGGGTGGGACATTTGCCTTGCACGTGCTGACTCCGGATCCACCTCCACATCCCATATGGTCCCCCAAGCCTGCCACGAGAGATACCTGAGAGCAGAGCCAGGAGTAAGCCCTGAGCACCACCTGGTGTGGCTCAAAAACAAACAAAAAATTGTTTTATGTATATACCACAGATAAGTGGAATCATGTAGCATTTGTCTTTCTGTATCTAACTGATTCCACCTAGTATAATGTCCTCTAGTTGCATCCATATTGTTGCAAGTGGTGGGATTTCACCTTTTTTAAAAAGTTGAGAAGTAGCCCATTGTGAGCACACACGTACACGTGCATGCATATATGTGCACATGTGTGTGTATGTCACATCTTTATCCATTGAATATCTGTGTCCATTACTATAGCTGATCCTCATAACAGCCTTGAGATTTTTCTTTCACTCACAGATGAGGACACAGCAGCTCAGAGGGGGTACTTTTCCTAAAGCAAGAGCAGATGTGTGGTGTTGACTTCACCATCCTGAGCGGCTCGAGAAGATCCCTGCATTGTCCAACCTGTATCACATCAACTCTGGGTCCTCATCTCCACCCAGTGGTCCTTATACATAGTTCTGATGGGCCCCCTCTCCCAGGCCCTCTCCTGTGATTTCAAACCTTTGCCCCTCTCCTCTAGTCCAGTGATACCTACCCTCTTTCCTGCCTCCCTCTCCACCACGCAAGCAGAGCTCCTCCAGGAAAACTTCTCCACTCCTGCTCACTGCAGCCCATCACTGGTCTACAGGAACACCTCCAGTCCTTTGTGAACTGCAAAGCAAGCAGTGCAAAGCAAACACCTGGATGACGCCAACACAGCACAGCCTCCCCTTTCCTCTCCTCTGAGGATCAGGATGCCTCCTGTTCAACACCGATCCATCCACCTGGGCCCCTCACTGATCCCCACAAGCCTCCCCTGTGGCCAGACCCTTCAATTATCCCTCCTTTCACTAATTTTTTTCCTCCTTCTTCAGCATCAGTGGCTTTCCCTCAGACTATATATAAAAGTAGGCTCAAGTTTCTCTTAAAATATCACTCTCTGGTACCCCCACCCCCGTCTTTAGCCACCACCTCATTTTTGTCTCTCTCTAGCCCAGCTCCTTGAAAGAACCATCTGCAACCCCTCCCAGGCCATTCATCAGCCACCACAGCCTGGCTGCTTCCCGCCACTCCCCTGAAATCACTTAATGATCTCTGCAGTGAAAGGGCGCCATGAACCCAGTGCTGCAAAAATAAAAACCCAACGGGAAAACTGGAAATCGTCCTGATTTCCCATCCATCAAGAACTGTGGTTTATATTTGGTTTATATCCTCTTTTTTCTCCCGACCTCATGCACATGTGCACACACAAAAGGAGAGAGGGAAGGAGATTGTTGTTGTTGTTGTTGTTGTTGTTGTTGTTACTGTTATTGTGCCACCTACTGATGCTTCGGGGTTACTCCTGGTTCTGCACTCAGGGATCATTCCTGGTGGTGCTTGGGGGACCATATGGGATGCTGGGGATTGAACCTGGTTGGCAGCATGTAAAGCAAACGCCCTATCCACTGTCTATTGCACTGGCCCTGAGATTTTTTTCCCCTCAAAACTGAGGAGTGGGTGTTGGTTACTCAGTACTATTCACAATAGCCAGAAGCTGGAAACAACCTGAAAGCCCAAGAACAGATGTATGAATAAAGAAATTATGGCACACCAACAGAATACTACACAGCTATTAGGGGAAAATGAGGCCATGAAATTTGCCTATACGTGGACAGGCTTGGAGAGTGAAATGAGTCAGAAGGAGAGGGACAGATATAGAATCACTACATTTATTTGTGGAATTAAAAAACAACAACAACAACAGGGGCTGGAGCAATAGCACAGCGAGTAGGGCATTTGCCTTGCATGTGGCCATCCCGGGTTTGATTCCCAGTTTCCCATATGGTCCCCTGAGCACTGCCAGGAGTAACTCCTGAGTGCAGAGCCAGGAGTAACCCCTGTGCATCGCTGGGTGTGACCCAAAAAGCAATAAAAAAAAAAACAGTGTGACACTAATACCCAATGCCAGGGAGAACAGGCCAGGAGGACTGGTCAATGGGGGGGGGGTGGCTTAAAGGGATGGGAGGGAAACTGGGGGACACTGGTGCTGAAAATTTACACTGGTAGAGGGATGGATGTCGGAACATTGTATGAGTAAAATGCAATCGTGAACAATGTTGT